TCCCTAAAGCTTAAATGTTAATACTCAACACAATTAATCCAGAAAGCCAAAGTCCTTACCTCTCTGGGATCTCCATGAAAATCAAAAGCTGAAAATTTCTGTAGAGGCAAAGGTAGAGACAGTAGTGAGAAATCTTCAGTGTACAGAAACTGCTGTTTTGAGCTGAGGCATCAAAGGTACTAGGTGACAGGATTTCTCCACTGGACCCAGGGTAAGAGGATCCTACACGAGGTTCTCTGGGTGTGGACAGATGGTTGGGAAGAAATAAAGGAACACAGCAGCAGCAAACAGACCTTGGGATGCAGAATAAGGGTCACTGGGCCTTTGAAGAGGCCAGCTGTGCCTGTAACTGTTCTTTCTCTTCCTTTCCCTGCTCTCCCTGGCAGCAACACCCTAATTTCTCCTCCAGGGACTAGGGGAAGTAGGTCAATGTACTGGAGTAGGAACATGCAGAGACCTGGCTTGGAGTTAAAAGGCTGAAGCTGGCATGGACCAGCAGGAAAGCACTTTTCTCACAATCCTTCCAACCTGTTTCCCCTTCCCTACCATCCTTCCCCATCACAGTGTCAGTCAATTGAGTTTGACCTAAAATTTGCTGAAATTTTGAAGAGTTGCCTTCTAAGCAAGTGGAGTGTGAGCCTAGAATGCTGAGATCTTTTACCACTTCTAAGGACAAAGCTGCTACAAAGAGAAGCCAGAAACACGAAAGGAAAGAGGAGCAACAGCGATGGGCACATTCCCAACAGCAGCCTCAAAGCATCTGGATACAGCCACACTCCAAGCATTCATACATGAACATTTCAGTTACCCCCAAATTTCTTCCAGCACACCTTGCAGAGTGGTCTCATCAAGGATCAGAAAAGCACGACGCCAACAATCTCACTGAGATTCATCCTAATCCCTGATTTTCTTTGTTGTGTGTTCACCAAGACAGTAGTGATTACAGTGTGACACTGTGGCTACTGGGTCCCAGTGGAATGTGAGAAGCGACTATTAAGATACCTCTATTGTGTGCATCAAGAAATGTGTTCTGTGTGTCTGTACACATGTATGTACTAACATGTTTGCATGATCAGGCCAGCAAACAGCCACGGAAGCACTTCTACAAGGTCCTAGAAAACTTTAAGATATCCTGGGATCTTAGATTCTCTGGGTTTCCCCCCAAAGTCATCAACTATTTCTGCATAAGCTGAATCCTCCTTTACACATAGAGAATGGCTAGATTTGACCTTTAGTCATTGTTAGAAAAAAATGTGTCCTAACAGTTTGAACACCTTGGTCACCTTATTTGAGCCAGATTATAAAAATGGGATTATAAAAAAAGTCCACATGGACACAAGCTATGGGCACACAGGGACCATACATGTACCAAAGGTATTCCATGGGATCCAAAGTATCCTACAGTGTCCATGACCCTGAGGGAAACAAGGATTAAACAAGCGACTCTCGAGCTCACATCCATATACCTTCCCAACAAAGGAAATAGTTCCTTTGGCCCTAGATGCTCTGGATGTGCTTTTCTCTCAATATTTGTTGTGCTGTGCTTCTCAGTGACAGCAGATTCCCACGGCCATTCACTAATCTTCAAATGTCCTTTTTCTGAGGAATAACCCTACTGACTATAA